ACGTGGGTATGCGCCCTCGCCGCTGCCACTTCAGGTCGGCCCCCCACTGCTGGGGACTCAAACCCGGGCTTTCAGCGTCACTCAACAGGGACCCGGCCAGTTGAGCTAAAGGGAGATCTCCCCCCAGCCCGGCGGCTGAGGTCCCTGCTATTCACAGGGAAGGGCGGTGACATCACCGCGCTGGTAAGCCGGCTCGCACAGCCTCTAATGTCGGCCATATGCGTTACAATATCAAAGAGCTGGATGCTAGCATAGTTAATACACTGTCACGTTTTCTATAATACCAAATTAAGTGGATTAGCAAACATTGCAGAAACAACAAATAACGTTCAAAAAGAAGATACAAATAAATGACAAAACAACACTTAATGTCAACTGGTGCAGGGTGTTTCATGTTGGTGGTACATAAACTATACATGTAAGAGTATAATAGTATATAAAATGTACTACTCTATACACAAAATATGTAGCACTGAACTAGAAGAGGCTGCTTAGGAAAAAGATTTCTCATCTAAGAACATTCTTGCCATTCACTGTAGTGCTAAAGGAATTGACCCTTTCTAGACTTGAACAGAGAAGACTATGAGGGGACCTGATACAAGTATTCAAAATCCTCAAAGGCACCAACAAAGTCATCCCAGAAGATTTCTTTAGCACAAATAGTGAAACAAGAATTAAAGGACACAAATGGAAATAATGTGCAAGAGCATTTACCACAGAGAACAAGAGGCACTTCTTCACACAAAAGGGGAAAGAAAACAAGCATGGCATAACACAGCTCCTTAATACACAGCCTAAAATGGGTCAAATGTCAAACGGCTCCAAGAGCTGACCAGTCATTGTCCCAGTATGAATACAGTTGTCACTGCGAGCTGAAACATCAAACGCATAACTGGTGATTCTATTTTTATTACTGTGTATTATTTTTTGCTATAACAAAAGATTTTTAATTTAATAACTATTGTTTTTGGTTTAGTATATGCCCTTGGATGTGCAGATATGTTTCCAAAAATGTTTAAACAATTGAGGAGATCACAGCTATTTACAATCTATAAATCTATTGTATATAATCCATGCAATCTATTCTTTTGCCCCCCTGTAACACTCATGTTATTTAAAACAATGTTTTCTAACACAATCACAGCAAAAAATAATAAGTCAGAGTATCATATATTTTCAGTAAGAAATGTAACATTTTCAAAATGAACACATTACTAAGTTAATCATTTATATGACCTTCTATGGCTAATGCAATCCACTTAAGGCTGGTAAACAGACCTCATCAGCTTCCTGTGCTGCTCCAGGTTTTTATAATGTTTGCATGTTGACCCTTTTTATTCAAATCAAATACTAAATTCTGAACCCCTGGTATTTTTGTTCAATATCACAAGCTCAAAATTTTGTCACCCAAAGGAACAATACTACTCAAGCGATGAACAAACTGATCAGCTCTCGGTCTAAAACATAAATAACATTACATTTGTGCCTAATGAGCTACTTTGAACAGTCTGTTGCATTATTGCAGCGCACAGTTTATTCAGTTAGGAGCAAGCCCTCTCTTGGTCTTAATCTGTAGGTCTAAAAGGGACATTTTCCATTACCTCTTGAAAGATGGCTGTAATAATAGAGTCCCATTTCTCTTTCTGCCCAGTTCTAATGTGTGAAAGGTTATCTGTGGCCTCTTTCTCTTCACCCCACCACCCTATTTATTTCCAGAGGAGTTCTGTGAGATAAGAACAACCCATTGAAACAGCACCCTAGTGTTCTAAAATGAAGCATGGTCACATTTAGCAGGAAAACCCATCAATGCCTTTAGTATTTTGTTGCTTAAAATGTATTATATGCTGATGTTCATAGTGCCCTTCTAAAGAGAAAGCCTAGTCTTATGCAAGAAAAATTGCACTCACCATCACACTGCCACTTCTTCACTGAACAGCTGGTTGAATGTACTGCAGAGCGAAGACACTTCTACAAAATTAACCTCACAGGACTGTGAACGCAATCTCTTTGTTTTGGCCACAGTAGAATGCAGCAACCAACCATCGGTTGCACTCTGAAATTCTGACACCTCTGATTTAGGTACTATACTGTCAAGATGCAGTGAGTTTAGGATTTGGAGATTTTGATGGACCAGAGTGGAATTTAAGGCTAATACCCCTACGAACAGATCATTCCACTGGTTCAATGCCTTATCTGGAGGATGGCACCTCCTACAGTACAGTGTCCTTTGTCGCCATTCTGACGAGTTCGGAAGTTCTGGATCAGAGGGAAGACCATCACCTTTATTCCTCAAACACCACCTGGCTTTTCTTACAAGCTCCTGTCCCAGCACTACCAAGGCCCAGATCTCATCTGCTCATCTTCTTTGCTCTTCTGAGGCTGACGGACATAGAAAAGATTTAAAAGCTATATTTTGTATATATATGTCCTCATATTTCTTTTCCTCTTCTCACACTGCTTGTCTGACTTGTGTTTTTAAGTTGTATGTTATTGAATTTGTTGTTGTCACTACTGCTGTTCTCTGTTTTTATTTTGGTGATTCCTGAATGTCTTTGTATCCAAGTAGACTCGCAAATAACCATTTCATTGCACGACTGCATATGACAAATAAACTGAACTACTATTTAAACAAATCCCGCAACTTCATATCTCAGTGTTCTGTGTTGGCATTTTCTAGATACTATATGTTTAATTTCTAGAAACATTTCCATTTGATGAGACTATTGCCAAGAAAGGTACACAAATTGCATCTACAAGTTAATGTACACACATATCAAGTTTGTATTGTATATATTAATATACAATTTGTACTGTATATATTATTTGTGTTGTGACTAACAAAGATATAGTCCAGTGCATTATAAGAAGCATATAAAATTGCAGAATGTACATAAAAATGAATAACTGTACTAAACAAATAAATGTTATTTTTGTTACCAGTTCTTTAATCATCGTAGATTCTTCATGGCTTAATATATAATATTTTAGCAGCACCCTAGCCATCAAGAATGAAACCTGTACATTAGAAAACTAGAACTGTGCATGAAAAGAACATATTCCTAGTACTCACTGTGCAGGCAACAATGGCTTTCTTGCAAAACACAACAAATAACAATGAGCAGATATCAAAAACAAGGTCTTCTGAAACTGGCAGGTTTCCATCTGCAGTCCCAGAATTCCCCGTTTTCTACACTGGGTTTGACAGCTAAATAATATAGCCTGCTGGGTTTCAAAGAAACATTGTCAATAGTAAGAAGAAAGATTATGTGACATGTCACAAAACGGCTGCCAGTATCTTCACAACCAGTCACAAAAGTGAAAATAAAACAAAAGCTTGAATGAAAAGACCTAGACTTTTTACTTCGTATAAAAGGTACACACCAGAGGGGCTTTAATAACAGTTAATTACATATAAATTGGAGACAAACCACAGTAACAACCTGTTTCCATGCACATATTTCACAGATAATTTCCGTATCTATATTACAGCATCTTTCCAAAACCTTGAACAGAAAGCAGAAATGAAGCAGTAAGCTGTATTATCTAGAGTACTGAAGAGAAGCTACTAATAACAGATTTTTAACATGTTTATTGTTCTTATTTGTCCATTCACCATCTGTATATTTTTCCTTATTGCTACCAATATATCCACCCATTGCTCCATAAAATTTGCACTGATTTTTGGCACCAGCTCCACTGTACATTTGAGCATATAAAGGCCCTGGTGTGTGTATTCTTCATATAATAATAAGATTGGGATTATTAGGAAGCCATGAATGGTAAGGGCCAATGGGAAATTTGGACAGGACATCCCTACTCTTATCAAGAAACACTTTGGGATTTTTAATGAACATAGAGAGCCAGTACCTTGGTTTCATGTCTCTTCTGAAATACAGCGCCATTTTACAGTATAGTCTCCCCATCACTATAGTGGGGCATTAGGACCCACACAGACTGCAGGGAGAGCACCCCCCTACTGGCCTCACTAACACCACTTCCAGCAGCAACCTCAGCTTTCCAAGGTGTTCTCCCATACCAGTACAGGCCAGCCTTACACCTGCTGAGCTTCAGGGGGCTGCCAGTTTTGAATGGCAGGGTGATACAGCTGCTGACATCTGTCCGACACTTCCTGCTTTACACCATTACACTGGTGCTTCAATCAGGGCTGTATTGAAATGAGCTTTTATCTCTGAGGCTGTGTGTGCTGGATCAATAGATAAAATATTGTGCAAGATGCTGTAGCAGACAGACATTTATTTTGCCTTGAATAACCTTCATTTATTAAAATGGAGAACACATTATTCAGGTGTGAAAAAAAAACCTTAAAGGACTGGAACAATCACTGCAAAAAACTATTTGCTGTCAATGCAGATGAAGATCCTGTTTAATCAGTATATACCATATTATTTATATTTTAAACCAAAATTACTTAAATTATAAAGTTGATTAACTGAACTTATGTCATACCAAATGTAGTAAAAGGATGTAAAAAGATAAAGCTGAAAAAGCACATTTTTCTCAGCAAGGTTGTAAGAATTAAAAAATCTGAAACAAATATATGTCTACCAAGTGCAGATTTAATGGTATAGGTACTATATTTGTCCCTGACAGAAAAAATTTTTAAAAATACTACATTATTCAAGACAGATTATGTGACTGGAGACTCCGTTTCCAGATCACCTGGCACTCAGGAGGTATCAACATTTACACACACACACACACACACACACACACACACACACACACACACACACTATGCAAACATTTCACTGTCTAAACAAAGGCAATAAATTTAGTTTCAAGCGTTACCTAGCCTGGAATTCCGGGGATAGCTTTGATTGCTCTGTGGGTGCACACACGGAGTAAAGTTATTCACGTGTGGTCAAAATTAAACATTAATTCAAACCGAACACCCGTTTTTCTTTGTTTTATAAATCAAACGAACTAAATTGATGTTTAACCCACGTGCTTCAAATAAATACCTTGTTTTGATTTCTCACCTGCAAAATGGTTTCTCCCGCAACCTGTAGGACCCAAACCTTTGTATGTCAACAGCGGCTGGCTTAATAGTGCCTGTTCAAGGGCTGCATCTGCGTGGATCGATTTTTTTAAGAAGATTCCATTAAGAGGGTGAAGTATATTCTCAAAAATATTTATGTACATAAAAGGAGTAATGACATTTTATTTTTGTTAATAATATGTTAATAGTTTAATTGTGTACTCAGTGGAGAAAGGTGTATATCAGAAATCCGATTATTATTTTGTATAATTATTTTTTGGTTTATAGTGGCATATTCTAGGGAGAGGAGTTTAACCTAGAAAAAAAATAATATATTTTATTGTACTATAGCTTTGTGTTTTTTTCCCTTTGTTAGTTTGTATTTTTCACTTATGTTCCTCACAATAAACACCATTGCAATTCTTTGCAATTGTGGCTGTGCCATCATTATTGCTGTGTTCTATCTAGACCTCTAAACTGTTGAAGGATTTACAATAGACAGATGCAGAGATTTATATGCAGTTGGCAAAAATATATTCAATATATTGATGATGTAAACATTTGAGCTACAAAAAAACATATGAAAACTTGGGTGTCTACTCTCCTGTACAGTATGTTGACATCTTCACCTTTTAGACATTGTGAGAAAGAAATAAACAAAAACTTAAAAGCTTAACTTATAGGATATATACTGGATAAGTAGAACTTAAACAGATGTTTGGATCTTATGCTATAAGAAATTGTACAGTAGTAAGACCTCATTAAGAATGTATTGTACAATTTGGTCACTGTGTTTCTAACCACTTTATCCAATTCAACTTCCTGGGTAAGCCTATCCCAGCAGGTACCTGGCACAAGGCAGGAAACACTCTTGACAGTATGCCGGTCCATCAAAGGGCACACAAAGACACACTTACTTGCACCAGGGCCAATTTTTCCAGAAGCCAAATACCCACTAGTATTTCTTCAGATTGTGGGAGGACATCAGATCACCCGGAGGAAACCCACTTGAACACAGGGAGCCAGCAGCCATGTTATCCTGCAACTTACAACTGGCAACCCACAGAAGCTCAGCAGGTGTGAGCCTAGTCAGTACCTGGATGGGAGACCTCCTGAGAAAAACTAAGGTTGTTGCTGGAAGAGGTGTTAGTGGGGCCAGCAGGGGGCGCTCACCCTGCAGTCTGTGTGGGTCCTAATGCCCCAGAATAGTGACAGGGGACACTATACTGTAAACAGGCACCATCCTTTGGATGAGACATAAAGCCAAGGTCCTGACTCTCTGTGGTCATTAAAAATCCGAGGGCATTTCTCGAAAAGAGTAGGAGTGTAACAAGGGTAACAAGGGATTTAACAGAGGTGTCCTGGCCAAATTTCCCATTGGCCCTTACTAATCATGGCCTCCTAATAATCCCCATCTATGAATTGGCTTCATTACTCTGTTCTCCTCCCCACTGATAGCTTGTGTGTGGTGAGCGTTCTGGTGAACAATGGCTGCCGTCGCATCATCCAGGTGGGTTCTGCACATTGGTGGTGGTGGAGTCCCCATTACCTGCAAAGCACTTTGGGTGGAGTGTCCAGAAAAGTGCTATATAAGTGTAAGCAATTATTATTATTAATTAACATACAAACTCCATGTAGATTGCACCCTGGGGATTGAACCCAAGACCCCAACAAGGCAGCAATGCTAACCACTGCGCCACCATGCCAACCCTTAAAAAACATAATGCTGCTCTGTAATCAGTCCACAATATAATGACCACTTGCTTTCTGAGGCTGGACTTTATGTCTTACTCTGTCATGCTAAAATAACTCCATGTTTCAGTCTTGAAAAAAGCCTGATAGGTTGATGAGGTCAACTCATGGGACATCTTCAAAACCAGCAGTGTAATACAAAACAGAGGTGACAAGTGGAAACTACACAGAAGTGCAATTCACTCTGAAAACAGCAGGCCCCTCTGTATCAGATTTCGTTCTGAGTTCATCCTGTTGTGGTGCAAAGAGTAGTGTCATGGTGGAGGGGATCTCAAGTGTCTGGGCCAGTGGCTGAGCTCCGTGAGCCGCTTTGGAGCTTGAAGCATGGGCCAAGTACGCGTCTGACAGCCACCAGGATTCCCGGGCCTGCACTGCACGATAGACTCAGGTGGCCAATGCTCCGTCTGCTCCTGGGGGCACGGCCCCTGCAGGCTTGTGGTGATGGAGGGGAAGCTCCTCCAGTTGCCACTCAAGCTCTCTGAGCTGCACAGCCCGGGACATCAAGACAAAAGAGTGGCTTGGGTGTGGGCGGGGCTGAGGGGTCGGCTTGCACTGTCCTCAGTCTCGGCTGCACAGAGGTGCGGGGATAAAGACACAATTCGACTCCTAATAGGGTGGGTATAAAAACAACAACTAGCAATTCTAAATTAAAAATATTTTATTTCTGTAGTTGAAATACAGTAAATAGTATTTCAAATATGAATTCTGATCTGAAATGCTAAGAATCCCTTAACATGCCATAACATTATTGCACTTGGTCCTGCAAATAAACACATTACAGTTTTACTTCTTGACATCAGCCATAAAAGCACTTCATATTGCTACAGAAAAGAACATATATCGTTCTGTATCTGATTAAATTACTCCACAATTAATGCACAGCCAGCAGGTGTTAAGAATGACAAAGATGACCCTACTAGTATAGTTCAAACTAATTTTGTCAATAAGCTAATCATGTTTTTCTTTATCAGGTTTGTGCCACTTAGACTCCAGCGCTAGTCTTATTATTCAGATGTTTAGAGTGACAGATACAGATTGAGTTTACAATTGATGCATTAAAAGGCAAGTGAGGCCCAATTGCTTAGTAGGTTAGATATAACAAGAAATCAATGTACTGCATTAGCAAACATTCTCAGTAAATGAGTAAAACTCAAACACATTAGTTAAAACATGAAAAGGCTGAAAAATATGAGACGTTTCAACAAGCCATTTGATCCAGCACCAAACCAAACACTATTAACCAATCTCTAGAATACAAATTCAATTTAATCAATAGTGATTAGTCCATAATAAATACTTATTTCTAAGAGATTTGATATTCCTTTTCAATTCTAATTTGGAAAAACTGGGAAGCCAATTTTGCAGTAGATCAAAAACATTTGAAAACTACCCTGTAGATCTGCTGTAAAGAGAAATTAGTCACAGAAAATACTTCATTCTGATACACACTGCAGTTAGGAAATCATCCATTTTTGTTAAGGACATATTTTAAACAAATCTTGCAAAACTCAGTTTTGTCTTAACACAAAAAATATGCTTTATATATTTTTGAACGTTTCTCTAGTTAACTTTGAAAAACAAAACGACCAGTTGGAGTTAGCAGCAATCAAGTTATTTTGAATCGGCTGTTAAAGATTGATTTGAAAGCATGGCCTTAGAGCTAAATCTTAAAAGATGCTGAAAATGCAGAAAAAATCTTCCCCCAAGAACATAACCGGCAGGAAATTCTGCTCTGTTCGTGAAACATAATTTCAGAGATATGAGCTGGTAGCATAAACATAGCAATCTTCATGTCAGCAGTGAAGTGGCATTCTTCTGTTCACCACTATAAACCTTGACTCAGGGGTTAGTCTGCTGTAGAAATTCTTGAAAAGAGTTCCTGGGAACACCAGAGGGCAGTGTTCTGAGACAACAGCTGTCACCCAACATCAGTTTTCCACATTGGTTGGTCAGGTAAAGTTCAAAATCAAAGGAGATCCGTAATGGCTATGACAGCTGTTGAAAGCTACATGGGAAAGAGAAGCATTGGTATGAAGCATATCTCTTTCAGAAGAAGACCTTGCCAATCTTATAAGTCTTACCTGTGCCTGTCAGTAAGTGATTTTGTTTATTAAAATACTAGTGCTCCAAGGATCTGCCCCCTGTAGAGAAATCACATCTGATAAGAACATGCGCTGAAAAAGAGGAGAACTGTTTTGCGAACCTGCAGTACAATTACAGTTATATAAGACTGTTTTTAAAAGTCATAAATTGACATCTACTTGAGGTTGCATCCCTTTAAAATGGTGAACATGCAACACCACTCTCAATGGAATGTGTACCTTAAATGAACATAATAGTTCAATAAAAGAGTTCATGATTATAATAAATGTGTATATAAAGTTATGAAAAATAATGAGATTATATTACAAAGGCCTTTGGAGATAGCTAAAATGAATGATAAAGCATTATAAGTTAAATAATTCCATAAACTGTGATAATAATAAATTCTAAAATGAAATAGAATTCCTCAATCACATTGAAACATTTGAAATCTGTGATGATATTCAACACAAACACAAAAACAAAAAGGGAATAGAACACTTTCAAAATTTCCGAAGAAATTACCAGAAACTGAATTATACAGTTTAGAATGTGTATTTTGTGAATTATTGTAGGTATTTCACATGTTCATTATGAGATCAATCAGTCAATCAAGGTGAAAGATGAGCCCTGAAGTAATACCTGATTTATTGGCTAGTGGAGTTTTCTTCTAACTCAAGCAATGGCAGAAGACATGTTGACAAGTATTTAGAGAGTCATTGGGTTGTCTGTCCCTGTCGCCAGAAGACATACTTCTAGAAGACATTGAGACATGCAGGTTGGATCAGTATCAATTACATGATTATTAATAAAACAAAAGAAGGAATAGGTCTATCACAGTCTTTTCATACAATTCATGTGAGGCATTCTTCCCCAGACCACATACATGAATCATCTGTGCTGCTGAAATCATGCAGTTCAATTTGGCATCTCGCATTTACATACAGTACTCACAACAACCAATAGCCCAACACCTTCTCAAAAATATTTTCTTTGCCACCAATTATATGAAATTATCAATGACATCATGCATAGTTCATGACTTTTCCTGCACCATAATTGTCACTCAGTTTCAGCAGCAAAAATAAAGCAATTAAATTCAACAGAAAGCAGCAAATCCAAATGGCTTCATGATAAACAACTAAGCAAATGAAAGTGAAAGGAACAGACATCTTCCATTTAATTTAATAATTTAATTATTTCAAATTTAATGCATT